TAAAAAAAAAAAAAAATTTTTTTTTTGAAACCGGGTACCCGGGTAGAATTTCTATTACCCGGACCCGACCCGGTTTGGGATCACCGGGTACCCGAACCCGGGAAAAACCCGGTTACGTAAAAAATTACCCGATCCGGTCGGGTAATATCCGACCGGGTCGGGTTATACCCGAATAACCCGACCCGAATGCCCACCCCTAATTGTGGGGGTGAAAACTGTGCTTGGAGACTTCATGCCTCCACTTTACCTGATAATGTAACATATATGATTAAGGTTTGTCCATGTGAACACACATGTACCAGAGGGGCTGTTGATAATGAGGTCAGTGCCAAGTGGTTAGCCTCAAAGCTGATGGATCTAATAAGATCAGACCCTGATGCAAACCTGAAGGCAATGAGGCATGAGGTGAAAAAATATGGGGTCAGACCACAATACTTGCAGTTTTACAGGGCTAAAAGTATTGCACTAGATCAGATACAAGGAAGTCATGCAAAATTGTTTGAAAAACTACCATATTATGTAAGGTACAATATTTTATTGCAGAAATAATAGTACAATTATTTTACATATCATGTATAATGCTAGGATTGCTAGGTTTAGCACTACCAAACTACGAACTAATCCATCTTCAATCTTGGCATTCTTCTTCGATTGAACTTGATTTGTCGATGCACTTGTCACCTCACTGTCATCATATTTTGGAGTAGCTATTGTATCACCATGTGAGCAACTATAACCAAATGGCTCACACCAATGTGAGAAGCCGTGTTCGGGGCAACAATAAAAGAGCCTTCCCGGATTTTTTCTTGTCTCCAATATCATAATTGCTGTTTTCTTTCCACAACTCTTGCATTCTCCTTTTTGTATTTTAACCCACTGATTTGAGATGATGTGCTAGAAGAATCCATGGAAGCAATAGAGAGAAGTGGAGAGAGAGGTGAAAGAGAAGAGAAAATTCCACCTTATTTATAGGGATGCAAAAAACGGTCATATTCCAACAAATAACTCAAAACTTACAATTAACCCCCTTAGATAGTAACAGGTAAAATGCAACGGTTATATTTCAGTAAGTACAAACTATGCAACAATATGACCCCTCATTAAATAAAATGCTTAAAATTACCCCTCTAAGGGTAATTTCGTCTGTAAATAGAACTATCAGAACGTTCCACGTGTACAAGGGCAAAATTGGTATTATCGGAGGAATATTCGGGAGAATAAAAAAGATTCTATCGAGTTTAACACTGTTAGAGCGATTTGTAAGATGTCTGCATACCTCAGGGGGGTTTTCGTAATTACGAGAACGTGGGGGGAATTTCCGTTATTCAGACTTACCTCAGGGGGGGTTTTGGTAATTTGACCATTTTTTTAATTCTTTTTTGGGAATAAAAAAGTATTCTTGAACCTCCACCAGAAGCATTTGTTTTGAAAACGAATTTGATTTCCAGAGAGAGAGAGTGCAAGTTAGAGATGGCGGCCTATGCAGCTCTACTTTCTCTCAAGTATATCATCCAACAGATTCAGCTTCATCCTCGCCCTCCAATTTCTCTTGATCAAAACCAGGTTGTTTCTCTCACCAAAAGCCTCAATTTCTTGCAAGATTTTCTTGAAGGTTATTCGTACGGCAGCAGCAGCATCAGCAGAGAAGCAGTAGATGTTTTGGAAAGTCGAATTAAAGATGCAGCTCATGCAGCAGAGGATATAATCGAAACCCGAATTGTTGATCAAATTCGCGGTGGCGGAAGAATCAATTCCGTTGACTTTTATCAAGATCTAGAGAAGGTGATCCAAGAGATGGGTTTTATCAAGAAAGATGTGATGGAGATTAAGGAGAAGAATATTGGTATAATCGAAGATCGTCTGCATATAAATCCGTCGACGCTTGGTGGTTCATCAAGTTCTCCTTTACCAATGAAGCAGATCGCCGTGGTTGGTCTTGATGATCAATTAATTGAAGTAATGGATAAGCTCACTGAACGACAATCCAATCTCCGCATAATCCCGATTGTTGGCATGGGCGGCATCGGTAAGACTACTCTTGCTATAAATGCATACACGAATCCACTTATCACGGAACAATTCGATATCCGGGCTTGGGTTACAATATCTCAAACTTATAATGTGCGAGAAATTCTTGTAGAAATTCTTCTTTGTGCAAGCAAAGACGAGACCCGGAAAAGCTTGAGTGGGAAGAGTGAAGGCCAATTAGGTGAGAGAGTACACAAGAGTTTATATGGAAGGAGATATTTGATTGTATTAGATGATATTTGGAGTGTTGAGGTGTGGGATAAAGTGAAACGATTCTTTCCAGACAATGGCCAAGGAAGTAGAGTAATGATAACCACTAGGCTATCGAACATTGTTCTTCAGATGATTGGCTCTCAGTTGATTGGCTCTCATGGCCTTGTGATGGATCTCTTAGATGATGATAGAAGTTGTGATCTAATGTGCGCAACTATATTTGGAAAAGAAGAAGATTGCCCAGTTGAATTGGAGGAAATAGGAAAGAAGATTGCCAAAAATTGCAAGGGGCTTCCTTTGTCAATCGTTGTGATTGGAGGACTTCTAGCGAAGTTGAATCCCACAAGAGAAAACTGGGAATATATTTCAGAAAACTTAAACTCAATTGTAAACGTGGAAGACAACGAGCGTTGCTTAAAAGTATTGCTCTTGAGTTATCACTATTTGCCGGTACATCTGAAACCATGCTTTCTGTATATGGGAGTTTTTCCTGAAGACAGTAACATCCGTGTCCCCAGGCTCGTAAAACTATGGGTTTCAGAAGGATTTTTGAAACCAATTAGGGGCAAGAGCTTGGAAGTGGTTTCGGGAGAGTATTTGGAGGACCTTTGTGACAGAAATCTCATTAGAGTTCATCAAAGGGGTACGAATGGGAGGATAAAGTTCTGCAAGATCCATGATCTCATGAGGGAACTATGCTTAAGGGAAGCCGAGAAAGAGAAGTTCCTCTATGTCAGAAGACCGCATGACCTCAACACTCCACAAGGCATTATAAATACCCAACGCCGCATTTGTATTCATCAAAGCACAACGCACAAGGTATATCTCCCTAAAGCTCTTCGTGCATTGCAATCTGTGCCCCTTGCCCGTTCTTTGTGTTTTGAATTTGAAGGAGTTCTACCATCACTTGATCATTGTAGATTGTTGAGGGTGCTGAGAGCAGCTGATACAGATTTTAATTCTTATGGAAAGAACACACATTGTACGTATACCCTAGAAGATGTTTTTCAGCTAGTTAACTCGCGGTACCTTGCTGTTGATGATTTTCGGTATGAAAATCTCTTCAGGTTTCCATCTTCAGTGTATCTCCTTTGGAATCTACAGACTCTAATTGTAACGAGTATCGATCCCGTTGTTGCGCCCTCTGAAATATGGAAGATGACTCAACTTAGGCATGTTTTGTTCCCTAGTGGACTTGAAATGCCCGATCCTCCTCTTGGTGGGCAAGATGGCGAGTTTGTTTTGGGGAACCTACAGACGCTCTCGCTAATAAGAAATTTCAAATGTGGAGAAGAGGTGGTTAAGAGAATCCCCAATATCACTAAATTAAAAATATGTTATGAAGGTGAGAAATTTGGGGGATATCTTTCAAGTTACTACTGTCTCAAAAATCTTGGCCGTCTAGGGAAACTCGAATCCTTTGACTGCTACTTTGATAACGGGTATGAGCTAAACCGGAATGATATGCTGCAGAATTTCATCATCCCCAATTCCATCAAGAAGTTGACTTTGAGTTGGACCTATCTCAAATGGGAAGACATGAAGACGAAGATAGGTTGGTTACCTAATCTTGAAGTCCTCAAACTGAAGTACAAATCCTTTTTGGGAGGGGAGTGGGAAACAGTTGAAGGGCAATTCTGCAACCTTAGATTCTTGCAAATTTGCGAGGACAGTGATCTGGAATGGTGGACGACAGACAGCACCCACTTTCCACGCCTTGAGCAACTTAAACTTTGGGATTTGTATAAGTTGAAAGAGATCCCTTCATGTATTGGAGAAATACCAACGCTTGGATCGATTGAGTTGATTTATTGTAGCAAGTCAGCTGTCATTTCTGCTAAAGAAATACTGGATGAACAAGAGGATCTTGGCAATGTAGGCCTTCGAGTTCGAGTTCAAGTTCTCCGAGAGGATAAACAACACTTGGAGAGCCTGGCTAGTCCCAACTTTCAAGTTGACTAGTCCCAACTTTCAACTTTTAGGGACAAGAGTTTCGGCATTTCGGAGTGCAGATAAATTTAAGAAACCGAAAAAAAAAAAAAAAAAAAAAAAAAAGGTTTTGGGCCGTTTCCGCAAATACCCAAAAGTTTATGGGTTGTACTGTAATTTAATATTTAGCCCGCCTGAGGAGATTGAATTTTCTTCAAATGTTCATGTTATTTATTATATGTAAACAAATTGAGTCGAGACTCGAGTATTGTAACTATTTTGCCTTTATTTAAATCTTAAATGATTTTGAACTTGTGCTTCATTTTAATTGATTTATCGAGACAAGGGACTTTCTTGGAAGACTAAAATGCAAAAAACCGAACTCTACTTGATCGATTCGATTGCTATTACAATTTGGTTCGACCACGATCAGAGAATAAAATTCTTCTTTTTTTTTTATGATATATAAAAACTCTTCAAACATTTGTACCGAGAAAATCTATCATACAGTCAAACGTTTCAATCCTCGTAATCAGCAGCATTCTCCAATAGATAGTTGACTGCTAATTCTTCGTTGCAATCACACGCCAAAAATGCCTCGATAACAAGAGCCCTTTCGAAACCTATGGCCTCCATCTATAAATCAAATAAAAGTTTTACTCTTTCGAATAAAGGGTATTATTAATTATTATTATTATTATTATTAAATATAAATAAAATGTTTTACGTACTCTTTCGATGGATGCCTCCTCTTCTGGCGTGACACTAACAGCATGGGGCATTTCTTCGTCACTATCACCCTCGTCAAATATATCCCTACCAACAAATAAAAGCTGCTGACGTCACTCTACGCGTCGAGAAATTTAATCCGCAAAAAAAATCATATAAACCTTAATTCCGAGATCTAAATAATCATATATCCCTTTTAAAATAAAATGCATACATCGAATTGGTGTGTGCGTGCATGTGATTATGAGGAGAGAGAGAGAACGGAGAGATCTATCTCTGACATGAACACGGCATAATTAATTAATGAAGCGGTGGAAATTGGGACCGAATTTCCTAATTCCACCAATTCCCATCCAATAATTTTTATTTTTGGAACAATTTTTTGCATTCAAATTTTCGATTTTTTTTTCTTTCCCTTTTTTGGCGGCAAAAGAATCATATACGAGATCTCGATTATTATAAGTGTAACAGCTCACCCTTAGGAATCATCAATAGGTTCGTTAATTAATTGGAGGAACTCCTGTTGGTTCTCTTGTATCAGACTCAGTAGTGATGGATTTTGAACTCTTACTGAATAAAAAAAAAAGAAAAAAAAAAAAAAAATTGAACTCTTACTGAATACGAGTAATCCACAGCCCGTTCTGCGTTATTATAAGCAGCAGGAAGGGCACTGGTGACTGTCTCGTTGTCCCAACTGCCACCACCCATGTCGATTAATTGTTGGATTGTCTGCTCATTATTACTACCGCCAGTTAAATTGGTAGCAGCTTGAGCATAAGAATCGGAAGGCTCACTGCAACAAAAAATATACAACGATTCTTGTAAAATCCTTTAATAAGACTACAGAGCCATAAAAATATCTACGGAATCATGGGATCACTAACGAATCCATACTTTCTTGTCGGAGGGACAGAAGCTAATCCGCTGCTATTAGGGACCCTGTAAGAAAAAAGCAGAATTCATTTCACTTCAGACATCGGAATTATAAATATATATATATATATATATATATATATATATATTCTGATATTTACAACTTACGGCTCCAGTGGCGAAGCTGCAGCTGTTGAAGTGGGATTACCAGCTGGTGTAGCAGTAGCTGCAGGCTGTTGCGAGAGATTAATAATTAATAAACATCAAAAGAAGCAAAATATAATTACGAGAAGGAATATAGCGAGCATGTCTAGAATGATACATGGGAAGAAGATGCCGACCCACTCGAGCCCATAGGTTTACTCTATTATCAGCTTTCAGGTTTCAAAATCAATAAAAAAAAAAGTATTCACTAAGATCTCTTTAAATCAGCTTTCAGGTTTCGAAATCAATAATATAGCAGTAGCAATAATGTACCAGATTTAGACCGAATCCAAGAATTAGAGGGTGTTTGGCTAAGCTTATAAGATGTTAAAAGGAGCTTATAAGATGTTTTAGAGCTTATAAGTTATTCCAAAGTGTTTGGTAATTTTTTAAAAAAAGATCTTAATTTTTTTTTTAAATAAGCTATTGGAGAGCAAATAAGATATTTTAAAAAAGTACATCTACCCCACCTTTTTATTTAAGATCTTATAATGAGTAAAAATAGGAAATAAGCTCATTATTCAAACATTCTAAAAATTAATCTTAAAAATAAGAGGTACCAGCTTATCAGCACTTAAAACATCTTATCAGACGTAAGAGTTTATCAGCAATTTAAAATAAGCTTAGCCGAACACATACTGTACAAACTTTCGAGATCCAAGAAAATGGGCCTCGATCAAAGAAATTACCTTGGTTTTAGCATGACGACAAGAAACCCATCTTCAGAGACCTTGTTTTCCGCCAAGTTGCTTTCGTCTTTCAATACTTTCCCGTCATGAATCAACAACTGCTGACCGCCGTAATCTAGTATCATCATTATTAAATATGAAAATGTTTTGCACAAATTATTCCCACTTCACAAAGAAACAATAAGAAGGTACCACTCGAAACTAAAAACCTATCAAATAGTCGATTTCTGCCGAACATGTTATCCTTCCAAAAAAATCCGAAGATAAAAGCTTCTTTATACTTAAATTTCGTAAGGTTTTCAAAAACACCTACTCTCAATCACAAAATTTTGCTAAAAGATACGCAAGATTGCTGTAATCTGTCAATAATTTAAGGGAAGTGCACCAAGACGATAACTTATTTTCGAACTCAACACGGTAAAAATTTAATTAGAATTAACAAAAATACCCGGCACGCAAAATCATCAAACCCTCCCGAGTCCCAATAGGTAATTAGAATTAAATTACTATATTTGATTACTTTTAAGCTTTTTCCACAACTAAGAAGCCCTACTCCACATCCAATTGAGAAATGCTATAATCAATATACAAACTACCAACTCATCCCAAATGCTTGCAGTAAAAATGTAAATTGGATATTTATATTAGAGTAAGAAGCAGTTTACCCCCTAAACTAATGCCTGTTTTGCGCTTTGCCCCCCAAACAATTTTTTTTTGCACGTTTTTACCTAAACTCGTGTTTTTGTTGCACGTTGCCCTAAAAACGGTATTTTCCGGTGATTTCCGCCGGAATACTAGACATGCGTGAATCACGTGAGTTTGGCAGGGGCAAACTTGTCTATTAACTAGTATTCTTCATTCCCCTTCTTCTCTATCAACACCATCCCTCATCCTCCATTTTTTGACGCATATTTTCTCCCTTTGAAACACTTTTCTCCTCTGTGAAAAATCTTCTTTCTCACACCACAACTGAAGGAGTAGGATGAATTATTATTTTTGTTAAAGCAATTTTCTCAATATTTCTGCACTCTCCCACTCTCGATCTACACAATTCTCCCTTTTAACTTGGAAATTCATCTCACTTTGCCTCCAAGATCCCACTTGTCAGCAATATTTTCTCGATGGATGAGGGGAATCGTAAAACTCAATTTCACAGTCCAATTGATTATTCGAAAAGAATCCCCAATTCTCGAATCTGAAGAAAATAATTTTCCCATCTTATTTCAATCCTCTCCCGACTAAGAAATTCTTACATTCGAAGAATATAAAATTGTACCCCAATCCAAAATCCAAACAATAACATCACACAAACAGTTCAAAAACATTAACCTTTATATTAAAGCAAACAACAATGGAGTTTTTTTTTTTTTGCTACTGAAGACAGACCCAGGCAAAGTTGAGATTTTGATTTAATTAAGATTAAAAAGCAAGTGCTTTTTTTTTTTTTACTCTTAGTTGCTGGACTATTGAATAGATGATTTTTTTATTTTATTTTTTTTGCAGGAGCATAGAAAATTGATATGCTGAAGCATTCTCGTGAGGGGGAAAAAGCAAAAGAACCCTCGGTCTGCCCATCCCCCAATCCTCTCATGTCCAAAATTCCTGTACAAAATTGAAAAGGGAGTAGGATGAAGGCCAAAAAGGGAGAATAACTGCGGCGGAAATTGGAGGTGGCAGCGGAGGAGGAATTTGGGGAAAGCATTTTCTTCTGCACTATAAGTGATTAAAGAACGGGGGAAAAGAAGAAGACTAATCAAGGGGAGAAATGAAGAATTTGATTTTGTGTATTTGAGAATTTGAGAAAAGAGATTCTGGAGAAAAAAATAAAAATAAAAAGAAAAGTAAAAAATAAAAATACAGAGCAAGACGATGGAGAAAAAGGGGGAATGCAAGTGAATAGACAAGTTTGCCCCTGCCAAACTCACGTGATTCGCACATGTCTAGTATTCCGGCGGAAATCACCGGAAAATACCGTTTTTAGGGCAACGTGCAACAAAAACACGAGTTTAGGTAAAAACGTGCAAAAAAAAATTATTTGGGGGGCAAAGCGCAAAACGGACATTAATTTAGGGGGCAAACTGCTTCTTACTCTTTATATTAATACTTCAGATAAAAAAATTTAAAAATAAAATAAAAAATTGAAACATCCAATTATTACAGAAAAACAAATAATTCGCAATCACTGAAGTCTACAAAAAAAAAAAAAAAAAAAAAAGAGAGAGAGAGAGAAAGAAGATTGCATACGGTGTCGTTTGGTTGGGCACTGATTTGAAAGTGGCTGCCTTTTAGGGTTTTCACGGTGAGCTTCATTCCGGCGAATTTTTGCCCAATTTCAAACCTAATTAACAATTAATTAATAAATTAGAAGAAGTTTGAAACCCTAGAAGTACGTTACTGAATACGGATCGAGAGAAGAGAGCACGAAGAAGGGAAAAAAAAGGGGCAAAATACAGTTTCCACCCTTAAAGTATAGGGGTGATAACACTTACCCCCTTAAAGTTAGAAATGTAACATTTACCCCCATCATTAATGAATTTAAAGGTAAAACTTTGACTTTGAATGATGTGGCATTTTTTCTTCCCAAATTGTCCTTCTAGCCATTATATAAATAATGAATATGTAATAATAAAAAATTCGGCAACTTTGCAAAAACTTAATTTTATTATTTTAATATTGTAAATTTACGAATGAAAAAAATTGAATTTTAGTTTCATTTTTGTTTTACCTTGTGTTCATTTGTAGCTAACAAATTTTAATTATGATTTTATAGTTTATATAGTTATTTTAATGCGTATATGACTCTAATATAATC